TATTGGGCAATTGATAGAAAAGCGCATAGTTATGACGATATTCAAGGCAATGATCATGTAAATAGGCATCACGTCTAAGACAAGTATACCGACTCCTGCCTCATCTACTCTTATTATGTGAGAGCCTAACTTAGTAGAAATGATAGACTACTCATATCAACAAGTATTCCTTCTTTTTAGGGACCCCATTCAAAAAGAACTCCAAAGTTAAGCGTTCTTGGCTTGTGGTAATTCTAGTATGGGTGACCGACCGGGAAGTAGCTGCCAAAATGCGTAGAAAAGACTAATGTTAGTCTGTGGGGCTAGTCCTAATCCCGCCAGGTGTAGCAGGTGTTATAATTGGTATCAGAGTCGACCCCTGTGGTTACACGAACATGTGGCGCATGGCGTGTGTGGCCCGTTGTGGCACACGACATGACACTTGTGCCGGACTGGACACACATACGTGTGCCAAGAGGGAACGTTCCTGATGGGCCGACGAGGACGTCGGTTACTTTGAGTGCGGGTGTATGTGAGTGCCTAGCTTAACAAGAATGATAGACTACTCATATCAATATGGAATTCCTTCTTTTTCGGGAGCCCATTTGAAAAGAATTCCAAAGTTAAGCGTTCTTGGTTTGGGGTAATTCTAGGATGGGTGACCAACCGGGAAGTAGCTTCCGGGTGCGCACGAGTGAGAACAAAGTGCGTAGAAAAGACTAGTGTTGGTCTGTGGGGCCAGTCTTGATCCTGCCAGGTGTAACAGGGTGTTACAATATCCATCCATTGACTGCTTTCCAGCATGCATCTAGGGTATTAAGTTAATAAAAACGGAGTAACGCTTTAAGAAAGATGGCATGATGTAGAAAAAGTAGGTGTAGCAGGGTGTTACAATATCCATCCATCGACCGCTATCCAACATGCATTTAGGGTATTAAGTTAATAAAAACAGAGTAACACCTTAAGCAAGATGACATGATGTAGACAAAGTAAACCCAACCAATATGAATAAACCCCGTCATTTTCCCCTTAATGGAAACAATACAAATACGTCTCTTGTCCCCTACTACGTTACTTGGATATAGAGCACCACAAGATTGAACTCATTACAAAGCAGCTCTCCAATTCCAAGATAAATCAATGTAGTTAGCCAAATCAAATGGATAGATCAAAGAGAAAGACTCAAATATTTCTAATGAATAATCTGGTAATAAACCCACAATTCATCGGATCGCAACAAACAGGCCGCAAAATAAGATTATATTGAATAGAACTCAAAGAACATCGAGGATAACATTGTATTGAAGATCAAAGAGAGGGAGAGAAGAAGCCATCTAGCTACTAGCTATGGACCCGCAGGTCTGTGGTAAATTACTCACGCATCATCGGAAGGGCAGCAAGGATAATGTAGAAGGCCTCAGTGATCGATTCCCCCTTCAACAGAGTACCGAAAAATGCCTCCAGATGGGATCGCGAAAGAACAGAAGTTTGCGGCGGCGGAAAAAGTGTTTTTGGTGGCTCTTTGTTGGTTTCTTGATTTTAGAGAATTTATAGAGGTGGAATTAGGTCAGTCGGAAGGCGTCATGGCATGCCTACCCCTCTGGGCGCGCCCTGTTGCCTTGTTGTCTCCTCGTTTGCCTTCTGATCTCCTCCCAAAACTTCTACGGTCTATCTTATCCAGAAAAAATCATCAAAAAGTTTCATAGAGTTTGGACTTCGTTTGGTACTGATTTTCTGGAAAACCCAAAACAAGCAAACTACAGCAACTAGCACTTGACACTAAGTTAATAAGTTAGTCCCAAAAATGATTATAATTGTATATAATTGCATATAAAACATCCAAGATTGATACTATAAGAGTATGGAACGATCAAAAATTATAGATACGTTGAAGACGTATCATGCCTCATTTCGTATACTCTTGTCATAAAAGGATTAGACAAATGCTTGTATTTAGAGACTAGAAAACCCCAACCAGACTCAAACTCTTCTATGGTAAGCATATGGTTCACAACCTTGTGGAAAGTGTCACCAAAAGATATGTCTTTCTTGTAAACTGCATCTAACATTTATTTTGCTTTCTTCAATATATACATGCCACTTGCACCACCTATGCGTTGTTTCTTTGAAGCATTCCCTGATAGCTAAAGTCATTGCTTGACATTGGTCCGAGAAAGGAAAAAAACATTGGGAATGTCAGTCCAGCAACATCTATACAAGCGTCGATAAAATGTTTTTTATTGTGTTTTACCTGTCAATATTGTTGTCGGTGCTTTACCGCCCATCATGACTACAAATTCAGAGAACGCCCATTTGAAATCTTCAACTATCTCGTTAGTTAGTAGAATCCCAGCAAAGATAACAATTTGGAAGTGCTTGTTGACCCCAATGAACATGCCAAAATGCATTTTATAAATGTTCGTCTCGTACGTCGTGTCAAACGTGACAATGTTAACGAAATAACGGTACATATTATGGCTCCTACCACCGGTCCACATCAATGATTTTAGTCTGTCTTCTTCATCTAACTATGGTGTAAACTATCATGCTTCTAAAGTTTTCTATTGTTTTACGCATGTCGTCTCGTAGTGCATCTGACGCTATATTTGAACAAACGGTGTGTATGCTCTTTTTATCTAATGGCACCTTATCCATTTAACCAAAAAGGCTACCTAAAATGCAAGTTACCCTTGAAAGTGTAACATTGTTCTCCCTTAAATGCTTTACAATTTCCTTTACCTGCTTGTCGATGTTTCTACGGGAGGACAACAATTTTTTTCTGCACAACTATCTGCCAGTTCATGGTTGTGCTCTTCGACAAAATCTCTGACGTACCAGGATGAAGAGTTCACACTGTCAGTCATAGCTAGTTGTACCATTGCTTTGCAGCCACATCTGGTTGTAGACATTTTGGCAGTCTTTGTAAATCCCTGCAATAGATATACTGATATTATCATCAATGGAACGAAACAACTCGCTCGAGGTTATAGCGATGGTGGGATCATATTGGGAGAGATCTTACCTCACGCTGGCATTTGTATGGTTGCATGGTTCTCACATGCCTCCGCCCCATTTGATACTGAACCCAGTAACCCAGTAACCCAGGAATACATGTTGTAGAACTGATATACCTCTTCCAACGATTCAAACTTAACTCCAATCTTCGGTTTAAACATTGTGTATGATCTGTCTTTGCAGAACTTCCTCATCGAATCTTCAATGACGCTAGCTTTCCCCTGCCTGTAATTTGTGTTAAGGAACATGACATTTGAAATATGAGTAACGTCTGGATGCTTCAAAATGTTCGGAAGGCACATGTTAAATAACAATATGTTCGAGTCGCTACCTGTTGCCTCAATTAACCTCTTCTTCCTGTTCGTCGTCCTCACCACAGTTGAAAGATGAGTAACATCGAGATGCTTCAGAATGCTCGGAAGGTTCAGGTACTACATTGTGTACAACACCTAATGGATGTTCAATTGCACCAGCATTACATTCTCTGTAAGACCATCTGACGTTGCATAATCTGGTTCATGTTAGTAAAGTCTTCTCTCCATAAACATACTTACTCATTGCCCTCGTTTGTCACCGTCTGCTTGCAGACTTCAACATCCTCCCTTTCTCCACATTCATCCATATATCCAGTAAACGAGTCATCTTTGGAGTTGGATTTGAATGTACATAAGGAAAAAACGATTTACCCAGTTTAGTCAGCAAATAAATGAGGCCCCACATAACGAAAGCATGTACTCCCTCGGTTCCTAAATATAAATCTTTTTAGAGATTTCAGCAAATGACTACATATGAAGCAATCATGTCTACATACATTCGTATGTTATAGTCCATTTGAAATGTCTAAAAAAACTTATATTTAAAAACGGAGGAAGTACGATGGTAGACATACATCTCTCCTTGATCTTTTTGTGAAGGTGGATATTGCTGGCTTTGCAGCAACTGCGTGAATGTCATAGAGGGATCAAGCAGATTTCTCTCATGAATGTAGCCAGTAGAACAATAGAATACATCTTTCGCTGCCGATACATCAATCTATGAATCGTAGAATATTCTAGGAAGGCGTAGTTACCCGGGCGGATTAATCCCCATGCTGAGAGCATCTCCAACAATCGTTCAATGCGCGGCGTCTAAAAAACAGGTTTACCGCGCGCAAGTAAATTTTTTTGGGACGCTAGAAGACGTTTGCTCCAACAAGCGTTGCAAAATATGCTGCGCGCGCGAGTCCAACGGTCCCAATCAAGCGGTCCCATCTGCAACAGTCCAGAGTTTGCAGCGCGCGCGACCAGGCGCACTAAATATGGTGCGCGCGATGCCTTTTTGATACGCGCGCTGCATTAGTTATAGCGCGCGCGCTTTTTGTGCGGCTGCTGGAGATTCCAAACCGGGTCCCCGCGCACTAAAAGCAGTTTTTATACCGCGCGGCGCTCATATAGCGCTTCTGTTGGAGATGCTCTGATCTTCGGATCCATGTCGCCGCCGCCATGAAGTGTACTGTTCCCCCGCCCAAGCCGCCAGGAACAGAGTATGCTTAGTGGAGAGCTATGCCTCGCTTCAATGCTATGACCTAGGCAACATCTGGCCCCGCAACCAACACATGTTGTGTTGAATTTAATGGTATGCAACATGTACAGATGTACACACCGATTGCGCTTCGGTACACAACCTGTCTATACATGTTGACCGCCGAATACTGCACGAATCTTATCGCTGTATCATGTGGCACCCACATACCCGGTAGAAACCCAAACAGCTAGAAAAACCACTCTCATTGTGGTTTCCCTAGAAAAAATAAATTTCCAAATTGGTAGCAGATATCACATAACAAGCTAGCAAACTACTAATCTTGCATACGAGGGGAGGTGTCGGCTTCTCACTGGAGCGATGACGGTAGACGGAGCCGGCATTCTCGGCCAGGAAATTAAGTGAGTGAGGAATTGAGGATAGATAGCGCGAGAAAGCGCCACCAAACACACAAGCACAGCGGACGGCCCAGCTTCGCGACCACGATGAGGGCTCTCCCCATGGCCGTCAGCCGCGGCGCCGTCGCCTGCGCCACCCCGGCCGCCGCCGCCGCAGCCGTCCCCCGGAGATCCATGCTCCTCTCCACCGCTGCCGCAGGCGCAGGTAAGCTCACGTTCCTTCCTCCACGCCGACCGAGAACACGAGCATTGCGTCTGCTTGATTCCGTTCATCTGTTGCTTGCTTCCCGGAATAGCGCTGCAGTCCGACCCCATCAGGCTGATGAGCACGCCCAAGCTCAAGCTCCGCGCCTCCGCCGGCGCCGCGCAGGCCGCGGCCACCTCATTCTCCAGCAATGACGAGGCCTTCACCTGGGCCAAGAAGGACAACAGGAGGCTCCTCCACGTCGTCTACCGCGTCGGCGACATCGACAGGACCATCAAGTCAGCCCGCCGCCGTATTAGCTGCACCACCTGTGTCGTTCTTTACCGGAGGATGGATTCTGACAGGTCTTCCTGGCCGATGAATGCAGGTTCTATACAGAGTGCCTGGGCATGAAGCTGCTGAGGAAGCGTGACATACCCGAAGAGAAGTACACCAATGCCTTCCTCGGATACGGCCCCGAGGAAACCAACTTTGCCATCGAGCTCACCTACAGTAATTCTTCCTACATGGCACACAGAACCAGCGCATTCTCACTGTAATTTTTATCATTGCTAATGTGGACCTGACAACTTATTCATCTGCAGACTACGGGGTTGATTCGTACGATATCGGAGCGGGGTTCGGTCATTTCGGCATTGCAACCGATGATGTAACACACCACTTCATGAGCCTTTACGATTATTTCGTAACAAGTATAGTACGATGCTCTATTGAACAATAATGTTCCTTGAACCTGGTGGTTTGTCACGACAGGTGGCGAAAACAGTTGAACTCATAAGGGCGAAGGGAGGCAAGGTGACTAGGGAGCCTGGCCCTGTCAAGGGTGGCAAGACCGTGATCGCGTTCATCGAAGACCCCGACGGCTACAAGTTCGAGATCCTAGAGAGGCCAGGGACTCCAGAGCCACTATGCCAAGTGATGCTTCGTGTCGGTGATCTCGACCGAGCCATAAGCTTCTACGAGAAGGTAGGTACCTTAGAACTGCTTCTTGTTCATGAAAGTTTTGCGGTTTGTTGTACCTCAGTGGTCATCGACTCGCCGTAGTGACGTCTCGTCGCTAAATTGTAGGCTTGTGGTATGAAACTGCTCCGGAAGCGAGACAACCCTGAATACAAGGTGATTGCTTTGCTCAATATATCATCTTGTTTCTTGAAAAGTCCCACGTGTAAACTGGACAAGCTCTTGTGCAGTACACGGTGGCGATGATGGGGTACGGGCCTGAAGACCAGAATGCGGTTCTGGAGTTGACCTACAACTACGGTGTCACTGAATATGACAAGGGGAGTGCCTATGCTCAGGTATAGAAGGACATACTCCATTGCATTTGCAGTTCATAGACCATTTGAACCGCCAATTGTTGTTCCAAATGTTGCTGCATTGCTAAGTTCTCGGTATGCTGGGTTTTTTCCACAGATCGCGATAGGCACCGACGATGTCTACAAGACCGCCGAGGTGGTGAAGCTGTCCGGAGGGAAAGTGGTGCGGGAGGCAGGTCCCTTGCCAGGGATCGGCACCAAGATCACGGCCATCCTGGACCCCGATGGGTGGAAATCGGTATCACCCTTTCCCCATCATGCTGATCTTCGAACCATTGATTGCTCACCGGTTCGAGACTCAACTGTTTGTCTATTTTTCATGCAGGTGTTTGTTGACAACATTGACTTTGCCAAAGAACTGGAGTAACCATATACAACATGGACTTTGCCAAAGCACTGTAAACATAGACTCTTTAGCTTTTACCATCGTTGTAAACATGAGCGCATAGGCTTTGGGAGAATATTTAATCTCTGGAGAACAACAAATGGAACAGAGGACAACGAGAGCCAACTCCAGTTTTATAGATGCCATTCCCCCTGGAGAAGTTAAATTTTGATGTGAAATTTGAGCAAGTTTGAAATGTGAGCTCAGAAGAATGGGGTTCGATCAGACTGTAAAAAATGAGTATGATTTAAGATCATGAATGATACGCGCGCCTCCATGAGTGTATAGGAACTCCTAAACGGTACTTATATAATTATATTGTGATTTTAATACCAACCATTAAGGAGTCAATGTAGGTATTAGTGGTACATGTACGTATGATTTGACTGGTTTTTTAAATACTATGGCATAGTGATAGCACTATATCCATAAATGAGCCACACAAATTTGGAAATGTTACAAGGAAATCTGAAGTCGTTGGACTACTTTACTATATATCCATGCAGATACATGCGGTCTCACTCAATGTCATAGATATCCAATTGCATTGAAGAAAGGATACTGTGCATGAGAACGTTTCTTGTTTACAATACAAGTTGAGCAACATGGTGCTATTCACTTAGACATTACCTTATTTAGACAAGATTACTTTCTTACGGACTAATCCAACTGGCCAATAATAGGGGGAGCATATATCATCTATCAGTTAACCGGAAAATAAGCAATTTATATTCTAGCCTATTTCTTCCTTGCCCTTGAGGTGTGGCTACCAACGAGTTGCCAGAATGCCTTGGGTCTAGTATTACCTCAAATCATGCTCAAATAACCCACATCTACCCATCCATGTGATATATAACAAGAGTCGAAATGATTATCACGACTTTGGAAAACAATTCTTATGCAATGGCAATAATAAGTAATCTAACATGAAAACAACTAATTGTTGCAACAAAGTGTACCATGGTACAACATGCCTTCACTGGTATGTGGGTTGACCACTATTTACTCTACAAAAGTAGTAAATCGGTGCATTCTATCAATATATAAACACAGCTTCGCTGGTTCACCATATTTTCCAAAGTAACACAACCTTGAACCAAATTGTTCAAGCATTCCAAAGTGCATAAGCAGTTATAAGAATATCATTTGGCTGTGTGCATGTTAGTTATGCAGAGGCCGGGTGTAATACTTTAATCATTTAAGTAATAAAAAGCGCCCCTTTTGAAAAAAATAAGAATATCAAGAAAAGAAGTTGGGTGCAGCTTGACACCACCAAAGAGGGATATAGCATATGTCTACTTCATCTAGCTATTGTAAAACAGTGGTGCATTTTTAGGGCTTTTGATTTGTCGTCATCGTCCTCACTAAAATCAGTTCTTTTTTTTTGTTCATCTGATTTACGTACATTATAAATGGGATGGGTGGGAGGAATTCAATAAGCATAGAGGTTTATGAAGAATTACGTACATGAACATAGAGAACAGAGCAAACATTTGATTTACCGAACAAATAAGTAAAAGGAAAATTATTATATTAAATATATTGTACGCCATATATAGCTCTGTAGCAGAGACCTGACACGACTCATATATTTACATGTTGCTTGCATTTATTCATGTGTTGTGATGAATTCTTTCCTAAAAAAGACTTCTTAGGGCAACTCCAGCAGAGTCGCCATATCTGACCGATTGACGTAATAACTGCCGGTATGTCCATTTTGGCCAAAAAGGCCACTCTAGCGAAGTCGTCATCTGGCTCCGGATCGCCAAAAATTTTGGAGGACGGTCCATATTAAGCCCCCGAGCATCCATATTTGGAGGTTGTGGGCGTTAGTTTGAAGCGCGCTCCATCCGCCAACCGCTCGCCCGGAAAGGAAGTTTCACCTCCCTCCTCAACCTCCCGTGCGTCCCACTCCCTCTCCTTCCCCTTCCCTCTACCTCCTGACCACTGCAATCGGCACCCTGCATCAAAATCGCTACCCGACGGCCCGTAATCAACACCCCGTCGTGGAATCGGTACGCCGTTGTCGGAATCGATGTGTCGCCAATGACACTAGCTCTGGGACGTGGCTGAGTGTGGGTCATCTGCCGCGATTTTGTTCCTGATTTTCTCAGCCTCAGTGGGTACCTCGGCTGCCTCAGGGAGAAAGGTGTTAACATAAATATCTCCAAAGAACATAAATATCTCTCAAGAACATAAAAAATGTCTGACGCCATGCTTGTTGTGATGTGACTCCTAAATGTCGACCCAGAGATCCCCGGACGCCGTCCTTGCCAAGTGCTTCCAGGTGGACGGCGAGATCATTAAGATCCTCAAGTCCACTTCTAGTATTATTTGACGACTGCATACATATATAATGCATGAGTTTCACAATCGAAGCCGATGACTGTTGTTAGCTAGATTGATTTATTATTATACATTGTAGACCAGTAAATAGAGATACCAAAAGTTTTCACGATTTTAGGTATATTTTGATTGGATATTATATGGGTCGATAAGATTAAGTTAACATTCAACTTTAAGCAACTATATTTGTGCTCGATTGACACCGAGAAAAACACAGAGACTTCCGGTTATTCACTCGTTTTCCTTTCTCGCTCGCGAAGTGACTAGGACGAAGCAATCGTCCCCTCCAGGCGCTGTCGATGAGCCCGTGGATTCGCCTCATCTTTGCCCGTCACTGGTTCTGACGACGATAGTGGTCGTTCGGTTGTGGAAGGACCTCGATATAAATTTTATTGTGTATGGGATGCTTTATACTTCTAGTCCCTTTTGCAAAAGAAAGTTGATAAAGTTCTTATAACAAATGTTGAATCAAAAATCATGTAAAGTTTGGTAAATTATAAGTGAAGGGGACAGGTGGTGGGGGCCAATACCTCAAGAAAAGGAGGGGCGAATCGGGAGAAACCACGACCACATTATCTATCGAGCTAAAATAGATCTAGACCGCCAGCAGTCGACAAAACCACATCAACAAAGCGTAGCCATGAGGAAACAAGGCCCATGGAGGCGGAAATCCATACCTCAAAAAATGGGAAAGGGGAAATCGAAGAAACCAGCACAACATGATTGCATTATTTGTCTTCTCTTTTTTAGCACAACTGCATTATTTATCTAGCTTAATAAGCCTGGAGCGCCGCCAGACGACACGAGCACGTCGAGAGGAATAACCATTTCAGACAACGAGGCGCCTAAGGTGATTTTGTAAAATTTCAAGATAATATGCCGGCTCAGTTTTTTAAAGATGCTCATAGGGATAGGGTGTGTGTGCACGCGCGTTCATAGAGGAGAGTGTATGCACGTATATATGAGCGCTTGCGTATGTACTGTGTCAAAAAAATGGCCATATATAGTAAGGAAAAATGGGTAAAAGGGAAACGAAAAAATCAGGCCAAACTAGTACAACACGGCTTATCGAGTTTTTTTAAGGGGACTTATCGAGGTATAATATAATAATAGGCCTGGAGGACCCATGGAGGAGGATGCACCAAGAATCAATCCCGGTCCAGCTTAACAGCCCTGTAATCTAAAAGGCCCAATAGTCCAAATTGCATACAATCTCCTCCCTCGTATATATACCCAAAAATAAGTTGCTGTAACCCAATAGGAAGCCGACAGATCGCTGCTCCGGAACGCCTCGTGCCGCCTCCTTCTTCGTCTGGCACGGCAGCTCGCCACACAGAGACCCGCCCTAATCGTCCGATCTGTTTCAATTCAAGGTCGCCATGGCTGCCGCCCCCTTCCCCAACTGGCTGATGCTGGAGCGCTTCGTCTTCCGCAGGGACGACAAGGGCTCTTTCCCGGACGACACCAAGGCGCCCATCCGGGCGTCCGGCACCACCTCCTGGAACGCTCGCTTCCAGTTCCACATCGCCTTGTGCCTCGCCGAGCCCCCGCTCCCCTCCCGCCTCTACGCCCGGCTGCCGCGTTTTCCGGATCCCAGGAAGCAGGCCCCCTTGGCCATCCTGGCGACGCACCGCCATCTCCTCCTGCTTCGCGTCGGTACCAATATCCCTGGACGAGGGCTGGTGCAGGACTTCCTCATCTACAGCGCCTACGACCCTTCCTCGTTCAAAGCTCTGCCCCCTTGTACCGAGCCGTACACGGATTATACCCGCACCGGTGACAGCCTACCTCGTGGTCCTCCCCTAGAGAAGGGGAAGACGCGCCTGCTGACGGTCAAATCCATGGGCCTCTTGTGCCGAGGTGAAGGCGGGCAAGAGTTTGCGGTGGCAGAGCTCTGCGTTTTCAAGTCCGTCCACTTGAAGATCTATGCTGACATCTGTTTGTTACGCTCCTCCACTTCAGCTGGCCCCGTACTGGGCGGCGAATGGAACTCTATGCGTCTACCAATCATTGGCATCGACAATGTCAATGATCCTCGGCAGCTCTGTTGCTGGGACACGGACACCATCGTCCCCTTCAACCGCTCGCTTTGCTGGATCGACTACCACCGAGGCATGCTCATCTACGACGTCTTCGCAGAGCATCACCTTCCTCGCGTTCCCTCTTGATGAGTTCCCTTCTGCTCACACTCACCGTGAAATCAAGCCATTCAGCTGGTTATACCGGGGTGTGTCCGCCATCGATGATGGACGTGTGCTCAAGTTTGTGAATGTCACCCGCCATGATGGCATTGGTCACGGGGAGCTCAAATCTGGTTCAGGCTTCACCATCACCTGCCACACTCTCGCATTAGGTAGCATGGTGTGGGAATTAAACTACACGATCACTTCAGCTGAGCTCTGGTCTTCCAATCCGCACCTTCCACACACCATCCTTATGTTCCCTCAAGTAAACGTCCACAGGCCATATGTAGTGCATTTTCTCATCAGCGAATTCGAATACGTCATTCGGAAGATGTGGGTGGTCAGCATTGACATGAGCACCAGGACAGTGGAGTCGATTTCCCAATACATCAATGCAAAGGAGGGCCTTAAAACCGATGATGCTGACTTCACCAGAAGAAGATCTAGCGCTCCCGCGTCCTTCCTCCCCTGTGAATTCTCTAGATTCCTTCGTCTCTCCAGGTGGTAGCTTCTATCTACAACATCTATACCACTT